GAATAGAAATAAAAATGCAGTAATAGTATCTAAAGTTATACCTTATAATGTCTCACAAATTATGTTTACCCCACCAATTTGAAATGTGGATACCTAAATTATAAAGTTAAAGGCTTTGTGGTTTTTAGGTTTTAGAGATTGGTCAAATGACTTGCTTTAAATATTCATTAAAAAGGCAGCCTTATTAATATTGTGACTTAATTGCATTACAAGAAAATATTTCTTTACATTTTTCCACCAATATCTAATCATATAAAAGTCTTGGTTAACTCTTCTTGCTTCTCAAATACGTTGGTTAGTATACAGAAAGTTTTCCTTTTAACTATTATGTGATTAAGTATGTCCTTATAAAATGATCAGAAGCATCTGGGAAAGGTGGAAGTAAAAAAAAAAGTCCTCACTGGGAAAGCAAGTTTAATGTTTTCCCTTCAGAGTGGCCCATTATCAACATTTCATAGTGGGTTTCTTTATTTTCAGGTCCCAGAGGTATGCGCAATAAATTATGACTTGAACTAAACAAGTCACACTTGGCTCCAAAATGAAATTTTCCTACCTCTACTTTCTAGTCCCCAAGGTGGGAAGAGGAAATCCTGGTCACAGCCAAAGAAGTCATATTTTTGGCTCTAATATACATTTTCCTGCTTCTCTAAAAGCCAAATTCTGCAGTGGAGACAAGAGTCTTAAGTTATTTTTTTAATTTTTACTTTCATAATCTGTGTCTCAAATTTAAGGAAAAAAATTTAATAAAAATCAATGTCATTGCCTTCTTTTCCCCACTCAAATCACATTTCTAACTCAGACATCAATCTTATCCTTTAAAAAATGAATTTGAATGGAAAAAGAAAATAATACAGAAACAGGTTGTTTCATTTTTATAAGATACTTATGATTTTCAATGGTAAATAAATTCTACTTATTCTTGCATGATTGACTGAGTATTAACATAAAAAGAATTATGAAGCCCCAATTTATGGTCAAGTAATTTGAAGCATTATTTAATTTTAGGAGAAGTTTCAAAAATGTAAATCAAAATCACACAATGAGATACCAGCTAACACTGAGGATGTGAAGAAACCCTCATACACTGTTGGTGGGAATGTCGGCTTGTCCAGACCTTAATGAAAAATAATGCAGAGATTTCTCAAAATATTAAAAATAGACCTACCATACAATCCATCAATTCCATTCTAGGTATCTAAAGAATGCAAAAAGTCTTAACTCAATGGGATACATGCACTCCTATGTTCATTGCAGCACTGTTTACAAGAGCCAAATTATAGAAACAATCTAAGTGCCCAAGGGCAGAGGAGTGGAATAGGAAGGTGTGATATGAACATACAATGTACTACCACTAAATACACCTATAGGTACAGGAATATACCTATAAAAATGATTACCACTTGCCATTTGTAACATGGATGGAACTTGAGGGGAAAATGCTAAGTAAAATAAGTCAGAAGACAAATACTGTCTTTCACTAAATGTGGAAAATAAATTAAAAAAAGGGGTCAGACAGAATCAAGCCAAGGACAGCTCTAGATGTCTAAGGAATTGAGACTATCAGGGATGGGGAGCTCGAGAGTAAAGAGCAAGGTGTGTAGAGGGCCCAATGGACTATGGTGGAGGACATGAGTGTCCTGTTGGTGGATGGGGTGTGATAACACACATCTGAAGCCGTGTGATTTTCTACCTTTAAATCAGAGTCAGTGTTTTAAACCAATGTTACTTCAATTTTTAAAAAAAGCTTAGGAAAAAAAAAAAAAAGCTTAGGAAAAGTCATTTATGGAAACTGGTTAGTTCATTATCTTATTTTACAGAAAAAATTTTTTTTAAAATACATTCTTAACCACATCCTAAAATAACTCACAGAGAGGTATGTCTGTTATAATGCTCTCCCCCAGAGTGTGAGTAGAACCTGTGACTTGCTTCTAGCCAATAGAATATGTCAAGGCTGATAGACAGTCACTCAATTAAGCCATCCTTTAAGGCAAAGGTACAGAGAAATTACACTTGTAGTTATGTTAAGCTATATGACTATATCTTAGCAGACTGGAACTACAGAAGAAGTAAGCTTGTTGGCTTAAAGAAGTAAGTTGTCATGCTAAGAGGGGTGTATGCAAAGATCACATGACAAGAAAAGATGAGTAGCATCTAAAAGTTAAGAGCAGCCCTAGGCTGGATTCGTCCAGTAATTTTTAGAAGTGAATTCTGCCAACATTCTGAATTAACTTTGGAAGAAGATCCCCAGTTGGAGATGAGAATGCAGTCCAGCCAAACTCCTAATCTCAGCCTTGTGAAACCTGAGCACATGGAAACTGATATAAGAAACGTGTAATTTTTTAAAGATTTATTTATGCATACAAGAACTGGGGTACAGGCCAGAGGTGCAGGGGGTGAGTGGATTCAGCAGAGACAGAATAGGGAGCAGAGTAGGGAGCAGTGACTGAAATATACTGCTGAGGGGAGCAGCAAGTGAAATAGAAGAGGTCAGCCACACCATGTGGGTCATCTCTCTGGCTGGGTATCAAACTCGTGATTCAGTAGCTGTATAGATAGCTTCATATTGTTGCACTTTAACCCATTACACCATCAGGGAGGGCCCAAGAAATGTGTATTTTTTTAAGTGACTATATTTGCAGTGATTTGTAATGTAACAATAGAAAACTAATATAAAGAGGGATAGTGAGTATATTCAGTATAGGACATCCTTTCCATTTATTATGTTTTACTGTGTATTCGAGTATAAAATGGTACTGTGACTGAGAATTCCTTTCAATAACTACTGTAATAATTTTATTGTCACAACACACTTTACTACCTTATGATGTTATATTAGGTTTACTGTTGTCCGATGTATTATCACATAATAATGATTACTGTCATTATCATTAATCATTTAATGTCTTAATTAAAGTTTCCAGGAATGGTGCATTGTTATTTTTAATAATAATGTCAAGTAAAACAAACAAACAAAAAACCCTAATACTTATGTTAAATATAAATATATTTTAAGCTTTATTTGCACAGAGAAACTCGGGTGCAAAAGTATGGGAGTATGGCCAGAAGTATGGGAGGGGAGGTGAGAGGATTCACCAGAGAGTCACTGAAATACATTACTAGGGGGGGCAGCAGGTGAGACAGGAGAGGTCTGCTGTGGGTTAGTTCCTTGTCTGGGAATCAAACTCAGGCCATAGCAGTGATAACCTGAAACTTAACACTTAGGCCACTAGGGAGGCCTGTTAATATAAGTATATTAAAACATATAAGCATATAGTTAACACTTAAATACAAATATATTAAATAATAAACATAACTTAATCATTATTTAGATCAACATTTTTTTGAACACACAATATATTCTAAGGCAATTTCTAAAGTATAGAAATTAAAGATGTTTAATAAATTGTCCTAATCATCAAGGTATAATCTAATGAATAAATATAACAAGATGAAGTCAGTGTAGAATGTGCTTTAGCAGTAATGAAAAACAATGGCACAGAAAACTATAAAGGTAAATATAAAAACCAGTACTGTACTTTTGGTTTATAATTTTTCTCCCTATATGACTTAAATGGCATGTAACAGAAGGAGAAAAGTGATGTTCTCCGCTTTAACCAAGCAGCATTACTGTAATAATATAGGGTGGTCAAGGTAAAATGATAAGACATCAAATAAGGCAGTACTCCACCAAGAGCAGTGTGCAGCAGCATTCAGCTTCAGCAGAATGCAGCATTAATGATGTTGAAAATGAACACAACAATTCTCTTGTGTGGTTGTCAATTGTTACCAAGAGTGGTAATCAGAGTCAGCATTAGCCACGTTAAAATAGGAGCCTTGGCCACACAGCCCTGAGCTTGGTCATCAGTGTTCTCAATGGTGGCACTGGTTACTGCAGAAAGACCAAAGTCGGTGTAGGTTGAAAGGTTTAGATACCCCTTTAGTACCTTCAGATTACCCAGAGAAATATTATTTATTTCTGTTTGTGCTCTATAACTCATAGTAAAGTATGAACAGTAAAGAATATAACTACCTATGGAATGAATTCCTGCTTTAGTATGAGACACTAACAGTTCTGTACACTGAAAGGGATAAGAATTATACTCCATGTAGTAAGTTAAATGACCAAGAAATCTCAAGTCTTGGTCTCAGAATACTAGCACATATAAGTGGCTGTAAGAAGTAAAAGAAAATCCTCCCTGATGGAAGACAACATCAACTTAGCCTTCAAATTACTGCTATCAGTAGTTTTCAGATGTTTAACAGTCAATGATAATGAAGCAAAATTCCTACTTCTAGCCCAGACAGAATAACTGGTGTGGGAATATTCCTCCCCCTAGGATTGTAAAACTGGACAAAACAGATAAAGCAACTGCTTTCTGGGAAGCAACTGCTTTCTGGGAACAGATACCAAGCAGCCTAATACTGTAATCTTAAAGATAAGGAAAATCCATTAGGTAAACTCCATGATGCTCAGCTCTTTTTTTCTAGGTATAATCTCATGACAATAGCACAGAGCACAGAAGCACAGGCAGAGTACAGTAGTCCTGCTGAACTGAGATGGAAGGTATCAAAATTTAGAGCAGCTAAAAAATCAGTGAAATTTGCAGGGCAAGGGCATGGCAATAGAGAACAGGGAGTTAGATAGAATTCACATCTGTGAATCTGTGGCGAAGAGCCTGACAAAACACAAATTTCTGAGCTCTACCTCCCTCCAGAGTTGGATTCAGTTGGCCTGGATGGAGTTGGAAAATGCGTATTGCTATCAAGTCCCAGATGATACTGATGCTCCTGACCCAAGACCACACTTTGAATTTACTCTTGTTGCACAGAAAACAGCGTAAGTTAAAACATAAAATAAATTCATACTAGCTACTAAACCTTTCTCACTCATTCCACGCCACCAAAGAATCAAAATGTGTTGAAGATATAAGAAAAAATTTAATTAACATGATATAAACAACTTATATGAGCAATGGGACTTTAGGGCTTCGACAGCCTACCTGTAGATCATTCACACTTGGAAAAGGAATTCCTATTGTTATCACAGCACGGGCATTGTCATCTGAGAAATCCATCCCCTCACTCACTTTACCACGACAAACTGCTACCAGGAGAGCTCCATCTTAAGGAATAGAAAACAAGCATTTTCATTCAAGCGCATTTCATTTCAGTGCACTTTAGTGCATTCAAAATTTCCCAAATTGCTTATACTTGTCATATGAAAACACCCAATTACAAATATTTGTTGTTGCAAACTTAAGAAAGAATCAAAGTAAAATCTGGTAGGAGACAGTTCAACTTCTTTCCATAGGAGAACAACATTACATTTATCTATAATATGGTAACAAACCAAATTACAAATTGTGTATCTCTCAGATAATTTATAGTAAAACCATACCAGAGTAGCAACATGCACATGAATGACTTAAAAAAAGTAAAACTGCAGTTACCTTTATCAACAGATGTGAAGTTGTCAGGATTATTTAAGTAACTAATTTATACTTAAACATACTCAACCACACATTAAAACACACAGAGAGAAGATTCTATGTATAGCTGTGTTATACAGGATACTGACAGTTATGTTATAGTATCTTTATGATGTTGCACTGTTCATAAATTATTACCATTAGCCCTTCCTTTCAAAAACATTCTCTAACTTTGAAGTTGAGGCTTCAGTTATATTTTGTAAACTCAAGTTTATCCTATGTAATAGAATATAAGTACAAAGCACATTATTTGCATTAAAATGGAGAGCTTGTTTGGTGAATAAGGAAGATATGTATGTATGTTCTACCTGCCACTTCCACAAATCATTTTGGGGCGTGTGAACTATGGGACAGAATATGAATGTATGCTGTTTCTTAAAGCTGAATGGTTTTCCCAAGTAAAAACATTCATAGGAGAATAATTTGCAATAAAACAATTTAACTTTTTTCACCCTAATATAAAATATAATTTTTCTCTTAAAAGCAATTCATTAAAAAAAAAATAGTAACACTAATGAAATTCTAACAGTGCCACATTCTTACTTTATAATAAAAAATAATTTTTATTGATCATCACATAGTTTCTAATTACCTTTTTCTCCTTTGAACTTGATTGCATCATAGTATACCTGCAGTAATTCATCAAAATCAGTTTTTTCTCCTCCTTGTGGTTCCACAATGACTGTTTTCAGCAACTCCAGGTTATGCCATAAGCCAGTGTACAGCCAACGTTCTTTTAACTTTTCTAATAACTGAAAAAGGAGAATAAAATAATGAACAAACTTTATGTGTCCAACTGAACAAATTTACTTTGGCTTGGTTAAAAGCAATTCTATTACATAAACCTTCCTGTTTTTATATTTCTTATTCATAAAATGAGGAAAACTCTATCAAGAGTTGTTTCTGGGTTAAATTCATTAACAACTTAGTGGTGATGTAAAAGAACTCCATGTATGTTAGCTGCTGCTACTGTTACCATTATTATTACTATTAATAGTATAGTTACTACTTCTATTATTGCTGTAGTAGGGATTTCAAAAGTGGGAAAAAAAATACTTCTGTCAAAGTTGATGAATTTTAAGTTACCTCTTTAAACCTAGGGTGAAAACCTAAGGTGAAGTTCCTTAATATGCTTACCTAAAAATTATTTAAATGACAAATTTTAAGATCACTATCTAAGGTAAATAAGCTGTATGAAAATCTGATCAAGTTATCATTAATAAACCTAATTGACTAAGACACAAACAGAAATTCAGGTGGGCAATGAGTAGAAAATATACAGGCACAAATATATTCAACAAATTTCAAAGAATCCTTATGATACTGACTACATAGTCTAAAATAATACAACTTAGGAGAAAAGTTAGTAATTCGAGTGATAGGAGCTGTAATAAAAAAAGAAAAAAAAAGGGAAAAAAGTTAATAATTCAAAGTAATGAGAGTAAAAACTACACATACAAGCTCGACATGAAAGACTTAAAGAGGAAAACAGAATTCGCAGAAGTTTTAAATATGGATGTGGGGTGCAATTCTTAAAATATATCTTAAAACATGTTTATTTTTAAAATCTGGGAGAAAAGCAGCTTTAGCTTTCTTTTTAAGAAGCCAGACTATCAAACAGTAAATACAAAAGTAAAAACTAATAATAAACATAAGTGCTGAAATCAATAAAAAAAGTGTTAGAGGAGATTATGACAAACTCAACTGTTTTACCAACTTGCTCTATGCCAGTTCTTAGAATGCACTAAGAAAGTATCCCATATTCTCTAGAGAACAAAAGAAAATTTTTATAAAAAGGTTTCGTTTCCCATATCTTTTCAAAAGTAAATTTAGTAAATTCGTTACACAAAATTTTAATCACTGCTGTGTTCTAAATGTTTGTGTATTCCCCAATTTACATGTTGAAATCCTAACTCCCCAAAGACTATGTTATGAAGTAGGAGGGTGGCCTTTCTTTGGGTGTTGGGTGGTGGTAAAGTCATAAGGGTGAATGTGAACCCTAGTAAAGGTGATCTCACACAGCTCCTTAACCCATGTGAGAAGAGAGATAAGCTGCCGGGAAGAGCCCTCCTTCAACCATGCTGGTACTCTGAACTCAGATTCCAATTCCAGAATGAAAAAAATTTGTATTAATTCTATATTTTTAAAAATCTATGGTATTATGTTACATCACCCAAACAAATTAAGACAATTATTAAAAAGGACAATAGTTTATTGCCTTTTACACAGTAATCGAATTATAAGGAGAAATTCCTTAATATCCTAAACTGATAAATAAAAATAAAATTTCCCTGTATCAACATGTTATTAGTAAAAATCACAGGGCTAACATTTGTCTAAGTCTTTATTCCTGAGTGCCTCAGGAATTGGCTGCCAGAATTTGAATTTTGCATATGTACTATTTCTGCTAGAATTTGAATTTTGCATATGCACTATTTCTGAATCAAAGTCTATCACTGAAAGTATTAAACCTTCTGACAGTACTGAGAGGCTACTGCATAGGGGGGATAGTCACAGTGAGCCTTCAATCAATAGTACCATGACAAAGTCAACAACACTTAGGATAATTGATTATTTCCTCAAATGGTTCTACTGGATAGACAGTTTAGAAGGGGATAAAAATATCCTAAGGATGTAAAATCTGAAAATAATTTGGGTTTTTTCCCTGTCTGTAGGTTTTACTAGACCTATGACTTCTATAAAAACTTTTTTTCTGATTTCTGCATCTAAATTTTGTTTTACTGTAATGATCCTCCTGTAGATTCAGTGAATGTGATCCACATATAATTTAAGATTTAAAAAAAATATGTTTATATGTTCTTTGAGACTTTAACATTATTTCCTATTCATTACTAAGTTAAATACATACTGAGCAAAGATGAGGGTTGTTATAACTTAAATTTTGCCTAATTTATCTACAGATATCTAAGAGGTATGCTGAAATCCTCTGTACTATTTATAGAATTGGTTGGTTTATCCTTATATTTCTTGTCATTTTGTTTCATCTTTTTATTCTGAAACTATGTCTTAAGTGAAAAATTCCTGTTAAATCTTCTTGGTGGATATACTTTTTATGTATATGGACTACATAGTTGTCGGGATCCTTTTTTTCAAATGAATAATTACAAATTCAAGGTAATTATTAACTTTGTGAGGGTGGAAAAAGGAATAGAATTAAGAAGCATCCAAAGATTTAGCTTTAATAGTTAGTTCTTTGGTAACAGTGTTGCTGTTTTCCTTTTATTAATATATTTTAACTCATATATCTACTACGCGTGCTTTTTTTTATGTAAGTATAAAATGTTACCTAGTGCTTGTGATAATGGAATTAAGATTTATTTCTTGTGGATGCTTTTTAGGAATGCCAAGGCACTGGTGATACAGAGAATAATGATAATAAAACAATAAATAATAAGGCCCTATGATACGTAAGAATATCAGAAATCTAAGAATAAAGCAGGCACACTGCAGGAAAAAGTTCCTGCTTTTGTGGCAATTAAATTACTTTGAAAAAATTTTACATTCCTGCAGAATTATCATGACCTGATGCTCCTTTCGCTAAGTACCAGTCAAATTCAACAAATATCTCAAAGGTACCTGAAATGTCATATACAAGATCTAATTCATAATATTCCAGTGTTCAATATCAAAGGATACCAGAACAGTAGAACAATGAGTTATCCTTAACAATTCACTCACCCACATTCAAGCTATTACCCAACCATATCAATTTCTATCTCTTAACTATCTCTCCATATCTAAAAGATCATCCAGTCCAAATCTTTATAATCTCCTCCTTGGAGACAATTCCAAATCTCCTAAACAGACTCTGCTTCCTGTCTATTATTCTTAGGTCTTCACATTTCGGAGTCAGAGCAATTATTTTCAAAATACAAATCTTACCACTTTAAAATTCAACAGAGAGTGAGTCAACAGATGGGTAAACAGGAAATCGCAGGCCCTTCTTGTCCCCATGGAAACACGGATTCAGCAACATATAAACCAATTATTTTTGTGGGAAATTCAGAAAACAGTAAAGAGGCTCCTGTCTCTCAGGTAAGTATGAAACCATCTGTATAGAAGCTGGTAAGAAATTCATGGTACCCCTGGAAGTCCCTCCCTCTGTTCAGTATGATGTGTGATTATAAGAAAACTACCTCCCAGCTTTTCCCTAGAGGAGAGAAAAATTGAAACACATATCCAAGGTGCAGACTTTTAAGACGCTGCCCAGGGGATAGTTTCTATCTTGCCTGAATGTAAGCACTGGAAACAGGACAGAGGCTAGCGGTACAAAGATACAGGTTTAACTAGCATGCAGTTACTTGCCAAAGTCTCTCCCCTTGCATGGCATAGTGAGAACACCCTCAACTTCCAGTTTCTCCCTGGAGAGGGAACTTATTGGACCTTAAATCCAATGTTTTCTTTTTTTTTTTTTAAAGACGCCGTCTAAGAACATTGACAAAATCCAGCATACTCTTGATGCCAGGAGGCCACTGACAAAAGAAAGGGAGGCAAGCTTGCTGCTTCTCCAGAGGACCAGCAGTACAGCAGAGGCGAACACAACTTGGTGGCTTCTACTTTCCAAGGGGAGAAAAGAGCTAATGGGTATGTGTACCACAATCCAGCTTTTTAGGGGTGCTGCATAAGGAACTGGTGTCTAGTCGGAGCAAGAGAACTGAGGAGACCCGGTATACGATAAACCAGGACTGATGAAAATAAGAAATCTAGGTGGCTTGCAGTAGCTCCACCTCTCTATAAAGATTATATAGAGAAATGCACTTTATGGAACTGCTGACTGTGAGGTTCCAAACTTAGAGAAATTACATCTTATGTACTTTTATGCCACTGTAATGAAAATAACTTTTGTCCAGGAGAAAATGTTGTCCCAAAGGTTACAGTTCATTGGTCTGTAGTACTTTAACAACTTTTGGATTCCTTTATGAAAGTGCTGATAAGTGCACAGCTCCTTAAAGGCTCTCTCAGTCACCTTTGACATAATACTCATTCCCTAACCAATGAATTGAATCATTCCTTTGATAGGTATTGACTTTATACTTATATGGAGCTATGATTTCAACTTTTTGAAAAGTATACTGTAGAGAAAGAAAAGTGAGCATATTATAAAAATATTTAAAATTAACAGAGAATGTTGTTAGACATAATAGGCAAGGGAGAAAAAGGTTCATAGATGCCTCCTGAGTTTCTGAATAGTCCAAATATAGATATTTCATATCATTATATAGATAATACTAGAAAAGCCCCAAGACTGGAGGAACAAATTTGTTAATGCCTTTGAGATGCCCATATTGATATGTGCATCTTGCATTTAAATATACAGGCGTGTGTGGATGTTGTAATTTATAATAAGAGATACATAGTTGGTCTTCATCCTCATTCCTGGCACACAGCTCTTCATATCCTTGGGATTTCCTAAGCACTAAGAGCTGTGGGGGTATCTTCTGTTCCCAGTTCCTGAAATAGCTGCAGGGCCAGAAAGATGCAATAATTTATTCATAACAACCCCTTTCAACCACAGAGTTTGTTAATGATGTGACTGGACAGCCCTCAGATACCTAAGGACAGGGGTTGGCCCCACCTCAAAAGAAAGGAGAGGAGCAAGAGGTTAAATTAACTACCAGTGGCCAATGATTTAATCAAACAAGTCTATGTAATGAACCCTTGATGTAAAATCAAAAGGTTGAAGTTCATAATGCTTCTAGGTTAGTGAATGTATCCACATACTGGACAGTGG